TTCAAATTTGGAAATGATGATACAGACAATGGACTCCTGACTAGGTGCGTTCCTCTAAGTCTTACTACCAATATGACCAAGTTGCGAAAATAAGGTCAACCAACCTCCAAACTTATCGTTAAGCAAATTTTAATTTTTACGAAGTTTCTAATTGAATTCTTAAATTTCTGTATCTTGACTTAACTGTTGTATTGCTTGGAAAAGATATTCCAAAGAAAACAGATATTTGATAGTTCTATAGTTGCTTGTCCGGACACCGCATGGAGGAGCCCAATCTAAACGAACAGCTGAACAAGCTTTCCTTCTAGTTGATTGCTAACAGTTTAGCTACCGGTTGTCAAGCGGATTGTGTTTTAAGATTGCTAGGTTACTAGAAAATGCGAGACTTTAGTTGAAGGCTTCAAGATGCTGCGCATTGCGTTGACGTATTTCTTGTCATATCAAAGTGAGGCTCTGGAACGGGCTCAATCCCAAATTCTCTACTTACTTCAAGAAGCTTTTTTTTTACAACGCTCCATGTCCAGCATCAAAAGAGACAGCGTAAAGCCCGGCTTTGTAATATTACGATGCATATCTTCTGCTCAAAGGGGCAAAACTTCATTTAGCAATAAAGTGGTAGCAACTATTTGATAGACAGACTGTTTTTCGTGCAATCTGAGAGAGGCTTAGAAACGTCAATCATGGTATTTTTCTAAAAGAAATAGCTTTAGAGGTACGCTTTCGTGTAGCAATTCGGAAGGGAAATAGTGCATTGCATCAGAAGTTTCCTCCTCCAATGAAGTTGTCCGAAACTGTTCTCAACTCTCTCGGATGTGCCTGAGCGTCTCCCTTATTTTTGGCTCACTTTGACTCTGGCCAAATTTGCTGCCAGCATTTCTCTCCCAGCGAGGACAGGTCGCTCGCACGAGCCCATACGGTTAGGTCGGGGATTGGCCGAAACGACAAGCAGTTAGTCATAATCAATTGACAGCCAGCAATAAAATGAAGCCATTGCATCTCCATTCAATCTTGACCAATAAATTCGAAATATTTTCGTTTATTTTCGTTTATTTCCAGCATCGTATTTTTTAAAAAAGCACCTTCAAGCTAAAGTGCACTGTGCTCGACGCTTTTATTCGAGGGAAAGTGTTATCTGCTATGAAATGAGACAAATTTATTAGTTATTCAGCAAAAGCTCTTTGTCGACTTGAGTAGGTGAGATTGGACGTGGCCAGATGGTATCCAATGCAAAGCCAGACAAATTGTTTTATTTGAGTTTCAGAGACACTTAAAAAACAGCGGCATATGCCGAGGCTGCATGTGTACTTTCGACATTTTTTCCAACTTTAATTATCCCACGTTCGGGTGGTAGCAAGCCTGACCTGAACGAACCCTAAAAGCTTCCTCTGAAAATAGGTCGAGATGGCTTTCATGCCTAAGACAGCATATTTAGGCTTGCTTATGGATGAAATGGGAATGTGGATAATTCTACAATTTGGCCGTAAATGCGGTTGTGCAGACTGTCCGATCTGCTTTTTCTGGAACTCTGACCACTTCTTCCTTCGGCAAGAGGCATGAGACTTTTTCGTCTAAGCCGAAAATGATGCTTTTGGGCCATACAGGCGAACAGAGCCAAACTATCTTTGCTGAAATTAGGAAGGGACTCGAATTCGTTTGTCCCCTCCAACATCTCCAAGTTTCATCTGCGAACTCAGTACGACTCGGCCGGCTACCTGCGCCAGATCCATTAATGGCCGAAGTATGCTCGAAACTGGTTGTATGTTTCCCAGAAAACTCGTATGCTTTATCGCGTTGTCTGAGGCGGACGTGGAAACTATTTCTAAGGCAACAGGAGAAAAATTAACAATATGTTGCAGCAGAAAACCTCGATCGGCGCAATCAGTCGGTCGGTGCATCTCCGTCGGGGTGATTATCCAACGGCAGACAACTCCACGATATATGCAGACACAGACACACACACAAACTAAAGAGACGTTCATCGTCTGACAGACAGAAAGTGAGGTGGGGCCATGCACCTGAATCGGCCTCATCAACAGTTCAGACTGAATAATGTGACAAAGCATCATCTCAAGAACAGCAAGTTATCCGATTAGGGGAGTGAGATGAGAACGTGAAATTCACATCCTTCGTCTCCACAGGACAGAATCTTCCCAGAGCAGTTTTTGCCAACTATGGATTGGATACATTGTAAGGTGCTTTCCCAAAGTTGAATTTACTGTATCCAAGAAACGAGTTTTACTACATAGTCAGTTGACTCGACATAAAACCTACCCTTGCATTTTATGAAGTTCAGAAAAACGACATGGGTAAAACACTAAATTAATTAGCCGACTAAAAGCAACGTAACATATTAACCTCAGCAGTGTTCGGATCACTTCCAGTAGTGGTTTGTTATTGTTTCGGTACTGGCAGAAGAAGAGTAGGAGAAGAGGGGCAAAAGGAGGATAAAGAACATGGGGTTCCACGGATGTTGGTGATGATAAGAATGATGATGATAAAAAGTTGGTATCATTCCTGCTATCAAATCAGCATGTTTGCCATGTCCGAGGAACAGTCCATAGGAGGCGTTAATATTCAGGGACAAGAAAAAAATCTTTCGAAAATATGTAATTATATCACGCAAGTTCAACTTTAACCAGACGAAGCATGCTCAACTGGGTGTTATGTAGAATAAGACTACAGCTTTTGTGTAATAAATAAAAGTTAGATACTCAATGATGCAATAAAATGGGCAAATATAAAATGACGAACCAAGAGATGAACAGAAAGAGGACTCTGTCTTGCGGCAAATGAGTTTATTCAGAGGTTAAGCGATTTGAAAGCTGTCAGAAGATCATCCGAGATGCATGCAAGCAAGAGAGACATGTAAAAGAAGTGGTGTCTCTTCCTGTTCTATGAGACTGCGGGGTAATCCATTTTCAAATGAATTTATATGACGAATGGAAACAGTACTAACGACAAGTTGAGTAGAAAAAGCGAAATTTCGCACATAAATTCACTGCTTCATGTTGCAAAAAAGCAGATTTCCTGCAAGGGCTGTATTGTTGTTTCGACCTTGTCACCAGCGGGATTCGAATCTTGGACGTCCCACGACTTTGTCCTCCAAGAGTTTCAAGGCAAGTATGGATCGCAAGGTGGAAAAGGAAAGCCAATCTCATTTTACCTCCTTACGAGAGACTTATAAAGCTGTGGACGTTCGTCGGTAGCTGAATCCGTTGTCAACTCGTCAGACGCCAATTCATCTTTGACTGAGTCACTACAAGTAGTATAAGACGATACAGAATCGGTCCACGTGATTGGGTACATCTGATAACCGAAACGTGTGATTGAGTTTAATGAGACCGTTTAAGCACATCTTAAAGATTCAACAACCCGAATTTCCATCATCCCTTGATTGCGATTTTAGCAATTAATTCGAGGTGACATTTGAGGACTGGAACTCCAAACGGAGACAATATGTAATGACATAAAACCGGAATCGCTTGCAATTCTTTGAAATGATCGCCATCTCGTCAAAAGTATATAAAACTCTTATATTCACATGAGAGAATTGCTCAATTTCTTTTTAAGCAGGCTCCTACAGTCTGCAGTATCTCAAGCTATCCTTCATGGGGCAATCGCCCAACACTCTCAACTGGCCACAAGAATCATCGGTTTCTATCCCAGGATCCTGTCACTTTCCTGTTTACTAAGGTAGCATTGTCGGCCTCAAAAGTGGGAGATCATGTGACCTAAGGTCAAGCAAAACGTATAGGCCAAGTGACAAAAAAGCAAAAGAGGTTTGAAGAGGCTGACCCCCTTCAGTCGGGGTTCCTCATAAAGTTGTTCAAGACTCCTCCAAGTTATACGACAGGAAGATAAAATAAATGCTTGGGAATCCATTTAACTCATTATATCCTATTCGTGCAAATTCGTCCATAATCTCTACGTAGAGCCTGCAAAGGTCCCTTCGTCACATAATTTGTTATAGCAATTCTACATTATTCTTTTGGGCCAAAATTGAGACACACAGGAAGGCAATCCTATTTCTAATTTGGATACGAGATAAATTTATTTTTAGTCACTTTGAGGATATTAAAATTAATTTGATTTCCACAAAATATTATGCACTGAGGGATAATTAGATTTATATGTGACCTTGAAACTAGCCCAGTTGAGCAGGCATTCTCATTTTCCTTTGCAAAATTTATTAGGTCGAAGATATAAACGAACAGACACTTTGAGGTCATCATTCTCATGCCGTTGATGTCCCCTGACAATCATTAATTGAGTTAATGACAAATTTTATAGTCCTTTTATGAATTCAACGAAGGGACATACAGAATTGGAGCTGATCAGATTCAATGACATACGACGTTTTTCACAGCCTTGCCCCAAGAAAGATGTTAAAAATGCATGTTTTATTGCGGGTTTGAGCTCAAAGCAATAGTTTGTCCGTCTACAATGCTTTAAAAAGGAAAAACCTTTTTTGTGTTGAAGTAAATGCCCCCATTCTCAATGGGATAGTCAGGACTCGAACCACTTGTTAAACGGTCCTATCGGTGTGATGTTGAATGCCATCCTGTAAGTCGCTTTACATTTGGTCGAGGTGGTGACGCATCTCCAACGGACCCCAAGAAACCAGATTTCGAGTCCCATTTTGGGGTGTTGAGGAGATGCAGTGCCGTCGGGTCTCAGTGAGAACGGCTTTATAGAGCGAATTTTACATTTAATTCTAATTTCAAATCTAATCTGCTCATCACTGCCTACTAAACAGGCTCGACTCTAGTTCATTAGGTTCCTACTACAAATCACAACCAAACTAGCATGATCAACATCATTCTAGCCAGATCTTGGCGATTTCAGACATTTTTCCCTCTTGCCAAGCGGATCTGTCAGACCTTCCAGAAAAGATGGAGGCCTATCGCGTCGCCCGTTTTTAGCCCAGAACATTCGCTCGTACGACTGTTTCGAACCACGTCCAGCTCCAAATATCTTGGCAGATAGTCCGTTGGCGAATAAAAATGCCTCGTATAATGTTCCTTCGAAAGAAAAGCAAGAGATTAGCATAGCCGAGACAGCATAAATTGTACCAAACATCAATCCTGCTCACTTTATCCGATTCTATGGTTCCGTATTCATACTGTCATCTATACCAGATAAATTCATCTTATTTTGTTTAGAGTGATAAGGAAAGTTGTAGTTGAATTTTCCCACATTCAGATCAGTAGACATGACGCCTCCACTGAATTTCACATAGCTATGCTTTTGCAAAAGTTCTTCTTGTCCACAGTGGACTGCAGTTTCGAACTCGATTAGGTCAGATCAACAGCCCTAACAGGACTCAAGCCATGATAATGGAGCGAATGTTCTCGACACGTTACCCGCTACGCCATAACACCACGAGTGCTAATGGGTCAGAAAATGGATGTGAATTTCAAAGGAGGTCAGATCATTTTCTGTGGTGGGGTTGTCGATGAAGCAAAGTTGTATTTGCCATAGCAATCGACAATGTTGCCTATTTTTCGTTTTTAACTCGGGCTTTGAGAATGCCAGTAGATCATATATTTGAGAGGTAGTTTCGAAAGCCTATCTATAGAAGAAAAAGAAGTCATAGTGAATACAGCTTTGGTTAATTGATATTCCCACCATAAAATTCACATCAGACCTGTGACCAACTCGTGGCACTTGTGTCATTGTGGCGTGGTGGTTAACGTGACGAGATCATACGTTGCTGTGTAATAGTTCGAGTCCCACTGGTGGTGTTGATAAGATCAATTTGAGGTAGAAACTGCCGTCCACCTTGGAGATGAACACCTTTTTCGGAGGTAAAGCTCTGTGAAATTCAATGAAAGCGCTATATCTAGACAATTCAACCACCAGTTCCCTTGTCATCCTAAACGAAATAGGATGAATACATCCCAAATATATGATCTACTGGTAGTCTCGAAAGCCTTTGCCATCGCCTGATGTGTCAACAGCCCCTGAAGCATCGCAAATAAACTTGATTAAAATCTTCAAAATCTGCTTCACAACTTTCACCCTCTCTTGGTCAAAATCACGATGCCTTTTTCCCGTCGGAGATCGGCAAATTTAGGCTCGCGTGCTGGTATCCGTCAAATATTCACATCTGCGAGGCGAAATTTGAGCCGAGCATCATATACTCCAATGCCAAATCTGCATCTTGTACAGGCTCTACAAACAAATCAAACTTAGCGCCGATGATTCGACAGAGACGATTCTCCAAAGTCAGCTGATGACGTGATTGTGTAACTTGGCAAAATGTGACGATAGATAAGACTTACTCCCACGTTCTGCCTAGCATAGTTGGTCACCGTCGCCAAGCGACAATACAGCAAAGCATAGATGCATGACATTTTCTGACGCTCATATTTATCGGCACAATACACTATTTTCGTGAAAGTAATTCTACTCACGACCAGTAGAAGAGAAGATCCAACTTTGCATACCAAATCATCATAACATGCACTCGAAAAGACCATTTCGACCAATTCGCGGTCTTATGCGCGACCCAAACTGGGTGTAAATCGTGATGATGCTGGTTCCGAGACAGACACGGTGTCAACCGCGTTCAACTGCCCGACAAACATGAGCTTAAAGGCGAAGCAGGCCGCTCTCAATGCAGATCGTTGTTGGGACTTTTTCCCATTGACAGGAAGTGGGCTGCCAAGAGCTGCACATACACGGTCCAAATCCCGCCGAAAGTGCCGATCATGCAGGAACAACGTATCAACTGCAGTCCGACTCGGATAATAACTGTCTTTTTGGGCGCATGTTTTAGTCAATTTAACAGCAATATCAAGGCTTCTCTTCACTGACTCGCAATAGACGAGGCTACCATACAAATACGATGCATCTTGAATAGAATGTTTCTCCAATTTTCTTCGACAGAATGAACATCATAGGTACTTATGGTAATTTTCTGTAATGGTTTTATGCATCGTCTGCTCTTGAGGTTTATCTTGTGCCTATCGACTACTTCCAACTTAAACCGACTTCAAGAGGCCTACTTCTATTTTGGAGGCGTTGTATAGACAGAACTATGGAAGGCACAATTAGTTCGTTTATCCTTTTGCGTTTCATAGCAAAAATCCTCCTTTTTCAGCATTTCCGCGAATTTACAGATATCCATCATCTGCTTCGTTGAAATTAGGAAATTCCGCTTTTTCAAATTGTTGTCGTTTTTATTTTGCAAATGTGCGAATTCATTGTCACGACTTAAGAATGACTGATGGATGGCATAACAACAGTGATAACAAAAAGAGGTTTTGGTATCTCTGAATTTCAGCATATGATTTTTAATTTTTCTATCTTAACTCAATATTCATAATACATCAAATAAACCTGTGAGCATAATAACATGAGACAATGGCATACAAGTGTACAGACGCACAGGAACACAATGCCTAATATTCTTGATAAATGGGCCCACATGCTCGGTTAGCATCAGGTTTTGGTACCTTTTATTTCGTTTGAGAAGTTAAGTCAAATGGATTCATAAATTCGCCCAACTCGAAAACGCAAGGAGGCGATATGCGTTTGTGCATATAAGTCCTTGGTGTAGATTCTGGGCTTCTTTCTCGCTGCAAAGACTCCTCTTAATGAGGGACAAGAGAAAGCCGGTTTTCGGCATACTTTTCGAGACTATCAGGAACACGGTCAGTCTCAGCACTTGCAGTGAGTTAAGGACTTAGGGGCTGAGTCTTTCGACTAGATGAAAGGATTAGGCTTCAGAATGCTGTTGTCCGGCAGTTTCGACCTGGCAACAGGATTCGATACTCGCTAGTGCATATTGTGGCTACATTGTCACCCCACTTCACATTCATGGGTACCCGTTGGTCTCAGAGGGCAGATGAGACATTGCAGGCCAGTCAGTGCTCACCTAAATTAAATCGAGCAAAAATATATTTGCCATTGCAATCGTCATTTTTAT